AAAAAAAAAAAAAAAAAAAAAAAAAAAAAAAAAGTTCGGATCCTGTACCAGCCAAGGGCCAAAAAACCCCATAACAACAGAAGGTAATACCTGCTCTCTGTTGAATATTACATAAAACATGAAAACATGGGAGGTTTAGAACTGTCAAGTCCCCTCACCCCACCACCCTGAGGATATGCAGAGTCTCCTGTCAGTCCCCAGGTGGGAGGACAGGTAGCCCTGGCCCATCCCTAGCAGCTAGCCCTGAAGGCCTCGGTCACCAGACAGCCTGGGAACTGGCCTGGAGTGGGGGAACCAAATGGGAAAAGCACCTTGAGAAGTGTCCCTCCCCAGACCACCTGCCTCCACTGCCTCCTGCCAGCCCAGCAGGGAGGAGGTGCCAGCCCCAGGGCCAGAGGTCCATGACCTAGAGGCTCACCTTGGCAGAAAATCTTTTTGAAGACACTGAAAAAAACAAAAAGCACAAGAGAGACCATGAGATGCAAAGGACAGGACCCCCAGTCTGCGTGACCCCCACCATGCAGTCTGGTCTGAGCATAGGAAGTGAGGACAGCCCCTGAGGATGTGCCCCCCCCAAGCAGAGTCACCCTCCTCCAACCCCAGGTTTGTCCCCAGGAAGGGGAGCCAAGCTGACATCCGACCGCTCAGGACAGTGAGGGTCTCCTTGGGCCTGTAGAAGGACGCTCCTCTCAGGGATTGATACTCAGTATTCGCACCCAGGGTTAGGCTCCAATTCAGCCCTGGCTTCCTCAGAACGAGGCCCAGGGAGCTCTATGTCTGGGGTCTGCCCTCTCTTCCCAATGCCCCCCTCCCAGGGTCCCATTACAGACGCCCTAACCTGCCTCTCCCACCCGCTGTGGCTGCCTGGCTCGCTGTCCTGGAGCCCTTGGCCATTGGGGTCCCAGAGCCACGGCAGGCCGTGAGAACTTCTGGGAAAGAAGATTCAGAAATACAGGTGAAGAGTGATTATGAGGGGCCTCTGGTTGGCCTGGTAGCCCCCACCCCACGCACATCTTGTCTGTGGGACGTGCGTGCATGCCTGCTGCTCTCAAGATGAAACCCCAGCTCCCTGCACTGCACAATTTCGCATGCACTGCAGCTGATGGGGGATGGGGGCAGTGGAGTGGGGGGCTCACCCCTGCCTCCTTCCTATGTTAGCTCACTGGATCCTCATGCAAGCCCAGGGAGGAGTCTAAGAGCAATGCCCCCATTTTACAAATGAGGAAACTGAGGTGCAGAGGCTAGGGGACCAGCTCAAGACAATGGGAAGGGCCTGGTTTGAGCCTGCAGTCTCTTCCCAAACAGGTGAAGGACCCAGGGGTGCAGGCTGTGACTGTCCTGCTGCCTGGCCCCGGGCAGGAGCTGGTAACTGCAGGAGGGAAAGGTCTGATCTACAGAGGACCCTGCAACTGTTTAACCCTAAGGAGGGAGGGAGATGGTTTCTGTTGTGGGTTGAATTATGTCCCCCCACCAAAGTTATGTCCTAACCCCCAGTTCCTGTGAGGGCGACCTTATTTGGAAACAGGGTCTTTGCAGATGTAATCAAGTTAAGGTGAGGTTGTCCTGGATTAGGGTGGGCCTTAAGTCCAAGCACTGGTGTTTTACAAGAGAAAACAGAGACACAGAGAGATGGCCATATGAAGACAGAGGCAGAGACTGGAGTGATATGGCTACACGCCAAGGAACACCTAAGGGTGGGCCTTAAGTCCAAGCACTGGTGTTTTACAAGAGAAAACAGAGACACAGAGAGATGACCATATGAAGACAGAGGCAGAGACTGGAGTGATATAGCTACACGCCAAGGAACACCTGAGCCACCAGAAGATAAAACCTAGAGCCTGCAGAGGGAGCATGCCCTGCTGACACCTTGATTTTAGACTTCTGGCCTCAAGAACAGTGAGAGAATACAATTTCTGTTGTCTTAAGCTGCCTGGTTTGTGCTATTCTGTGATGGCAGCCCTGGGAAGTCAATTTCTAAGTGGATTTTAAAAAGGCATTTTTCAAACCAATCTGAAGCACACTTTGGGGGGCTGTAGTAGGAGGAGGGTGAACTCCCAGTAGCTCCTCTGTCACATGGGGACAGATGACAGACAGTGTTTACCTTGGAAGATGATTTTGGTTCGGTCCAGGGGAGCTACCGCTGTTTTAGCAAGAGCGCCGGCCAGGGCCCCGGACAGGAGGGAGCTGAGCACTTGTCTGTGGTCGCTCTGCAACAGATCACAGATCATGGTCATAGGAGGGCGGGGGAGGGCCCGCTGCACAAGGGACTGTGCCCCCGAGAAATTTCTTCCTTCCACCCCTCGTCCAGGGCCTAGAGACGCACAGTGGTCTGAGTATGGCAGCCCTACTCGGTCCTGGGTGAGCCATGGTGGGTCCAATAGCCACAGAGCCTGCTGAGGACACAGTGAAACCTCCTGGGCGATAAGGACCATCCACGTGGAAGGGGAGACCCTGTCTGGGCAGCCCCTGGAGGTTCCACGTTCTGAGAGAATGGCCCACAACTGGACCAATCCCAAATGGAAGAGTCACCCCTGACCCAACCCACGTGCAAACTTTGGTTTCCTCCACCACCCTGTGCACCTGACTACTGCACTGCAGCATTTTAGGGCCAGGTGACAAGGGACCCCTGGGGTCTGGGGGCAGGCAGGGGCTGTCAGGCAAGCAGATCCTGGCTCTATGCCCCCATATCCCCTTTCCACAACTTTCAATCAGGACTTCAGGAGCCACCGTCTGTGGCTCTTCATTCAGTCAAGGCAAGGGAGTGATGATCAAGGTGACAAAGGCAGCCAACTGCCTTGAGGGCACCCTTGGCCATCCCTGGAACCAGCACTTTCCTGAATCTTCTGGAGGCTCCCTGAGGCCTCTGCCCCCCACAGCCCTCCTTTGTTTGTCCAAGTCCTGTGGAGTTCTGCAGGAAGCCACCTGCTCATCAGGTTGGAGTCTTCGTTTCCCTAGCTGACTCAGCACAGAACGCTCACCTCAGGGAGCACTCTGGAACATTCTGGAATATTCTGAACTGGAGTCACTGTGATCTTTCCTTGCCCCATAATGCTTAGTCATCTGAGTGTGACGTTGAGGGGCAGATTGTTCAATGATTCACAAGGATCTGTGAAGTCCCACTCAGACCAGGAGTTCTGAGTGGCCTGGAGACCCATAGTATGCGGTGGGGGCTGCATAGGAGCCACTCCTCCCCTCGCCTCCACGGGGAAGCCAGACATGAACTGGACCATCAAAGGCACAATCACCAGTCTGGAAGGTGCTGTGAGGAGGAGGTTCGGGGTCTTGGAAAACCTGGATTGGGGGAGAGGCCAAGGTGGAAGGAAGAGGTGGAGGTAACCCTTGTGTGTGTGTGTTTTATATAGTGTTAAGAGGAGGAGGAGCAAATTCCCACAGGCCTGGGTGAGAAGAAGGGGGCCCTGAGGGACCACAAGGAGGGCAGGTTGGCTGGCACAGGGAAAGAGAGAGTACAGAAGAGAGGGGAGACAGAAAATACAGCTGGGGCTGGACCCCCCAGAGCCTGGCAAGGAGGATGGTCTTTGCCCAAAGAAGTGGAGAAGCACAGAAGGTGGACAGGCATTTTTACTGTGACCAGAGGGGCAGCGGCTCCTGCAGAAGCCCAGGATGGAGACAGTGGAGGTGAGACTTTGGGTTTCATTGTCTCCTCACTTCTCAGAGGCCTGTCTTTGGGGACCACTGCCTTTCTGGGGCCACACAACAAGGTTCTGGACACCCGGGTCAGGGCCTCTGGCTTTGAGAGACATGGATGTTTGGTGTGGTCCCGGCCACAGCTCTGAGGTCTGACCAGCCCCCGGCCTCAGTTTCCTCTCTGTGAGTCAATTGGTGTGACGGCTCCCCTTGCTGGCTGCTGCAGGCAGAGGGAACACTCTATGAAGAGCCCCTCCAGACACCCCACTGGAGCCAGACAGACGGCATCCCTTCCATCATCTTCATCAGGTTAGGTCCTGTGCAATTCTTCTTAGCATCACAAAGACAACTCTTTTATTAGGGACACACATCCGTACACTCTGGAGGTGGCCACTGGCCATGCTTGGGGAATGTGTGGTGAGACCACTTCATTTGCCCAGTAGAGGCTGTTGCCTTTGACTGACACTCCCAGCTCCTCTTTATTTTTTTATGTTGTATTTTTTTGGCACCTGGCCAGTAAGGTCAGGGGATCTGAACCCTTGACCTTGGTGTTATCAACACTGTGCTCTAACCAATGAGCAATCTGGCCAGCCCCCCAGCTCCTCTTTAATGCCTATAAGACTGACATTGGTCCAGGTCGGCCAGCATGGAGGACAGCAGGCAATTGCGTGTGCCAGCAGACCACGGGCATGGAGCGTCTCGTTGGGTGGTTGCGCAGTAACCGCGCAGCACTTGGTGAGATCCGTCCTGCAGAGTCCTCTCACTGGTGGTGTGCAGAGGGTGTCTGTTTCTATACATTGTTCTTCCTGCTCTGTTGGGCAGTTCACTACACTTTGAGGGATGTGCCTGCCCCGTGCCTTGACCAGCAGCACCCCAGGGTGGTGACAGTGACCTCACATGCTGGCCCCAGTGAACAAGTCCTCCTACCTGCCTGGGCCTCCGCGGTGCTACCTGGAATTCGGGGAAAGGTCAGGAGGCCCGGAGGATGACGCCACCTCAGCCTTTGACCTCATGGACTTTGAGAACTGCTGGTGTGGGTGCCTGAGTCGGGCCCTGGGAGCTAGGATTGGCTTCTTCGTGGGGCTGGGTTGGTTTGTGTTTCAGGTTCAACCAGAGGAATTTCCAGGGCAGTGTAGGTCTTGGCTTCTGTGGTGAACAAGGGCAGGGCTGATCTGATTCTGGTACGAGGGAAGGTCTTTTCTTCAACTGAAGTGTGGACAGCAGAGATGAACTTTGGAATGGGGAGCAAACCCTAAGTGTGCTCACCCCCACGGCTGTCCCCAAGTTTGGCTAATTCTTTAGTGTTTGCAAGTCTGAGGGAGAAAAGGGGTCTCAGATACCTGCTGACATCTCAGGCCCCTCAAAGCTCCCCCGCTTTGGGTGAGGTTTTGGCTTCTTGCCAGGTGGCTGGGCTGGCTGGATTCATGTCACAAACGGGGTTGTCAGTGGAACAGAAGGCACCCAGTGTCCTCCAAGACCTTGTGGCCTCTGGGGCTGCAGGTGCGGAGAGAGGCCCCGACGCTGCTGCGCCCTCAGATGGGGTGAGCCAAGGTGAAAATGTGCACAGTATACATATGACACAAGTGATTTGCAGTGGGATGCATGGAGTCAGCCAGGACTGCAGGGAGGGGTCACTCCAGGAGAACACCCACCCTGGAAGGCCGGGGTACTTGCCTTTGCAGACACGGTGGAGGGCAGGACAGCCTCAGCATCCTCCCGCAAGCGCATCGAGCCTTCCTTCACCACATCACCCATACCAGGCCTGCTCGGGATGGCAGGAGACTCGGTCCTGGGGAAGCAGGAGGGGGCAAGTGAGACCCGAAAAGACCTGGCGGATGGCGGCCTCCCACACCCCTGGCTGCCCGCACCTGCCTGAAGCCAGAACCAAATGCTCCCAAGGGCAGCTCCCCACCTTCTCCTATCCCGGTGTTTGCTTCTCTGCAGGGAAAAAGATTCTCTCACCTGCATTCTGATGCCCCATCCCCTGTACTGATTGCTTAATCATTTACAAAAGCCTTTCTTGTCAGCTCTTGCACGTGATCATCATGAACATTCTGGGTTGTTTTTTCTTAACATGGTATCAGCAGAGTAGATGGGCTCAAAGAGGTTGAGGCCAGCCAAGGTCACACAGCAGGAGGTAGAGATTTGCAGGCTGTGGGCCGGGGGACCTGCCTGCCCAGAGCTGCTCAACGTCGGCCCCACTGTCAGGGTAGATGTCCAGTGGGCTTATAACAGCTCGGTCCTGAGGGCCGCCATCTACATTTTCAGAAAATTAATCTTTTCCCTACATCATGACAGCCTGCTCTCTGTAGCAAAGCTTCAGGTAAAAGGCTGTATCACTTCAGGAGACTCCTGGAAGCCTGCATCGGACCTCCCCTTGAAAGTGCAGTCAAAGCCCGGCCAGCTGCGGTGAGGGTCCCACCATCCAGGCCAGAGGGTCCAAGGAGGACACAAGATGAAGGAACTCATGTGACTGAGATGCCATCGTGTGCTGGGTGCTCTGTGAGGTCTCGATTCCCATGCTTTAAAATTATCTGACAAGGGTCAGCCCGTGGCTCACCGAGGAGAGTGTGGTCCTGATAACACCAAGGCCACGGGTTCGGATCCCTATATAGGGATGGCCAGATAGCTCACTTGGGAGAGAGTGGTGCTGACAACACCAAGTCAAGGGTTAAGATCCCCTTACTGGTCATCTTTAAAAAAATATATATATATCCGATAAATTAACAGGACACAGAGGCCCCCAGAGCAGGCATCAGTGTCAGTGCATAATGTCATCACAGAAAGGACAGATAGGCTTCTACCATCCGGGTGTCCACTGCTGACTCCTTCTTACATACGGCAGGCCCATGGGCCCCAGCTCAGGAAGACGGGGCAGGAAATATCAGGAAGAGCCTGGAGCCCCTGAGGTGCCCGACAGTAAGGACATGCTCAAGAACAGGAACCAAAACCGAAGGGGGGACAAGGGAATGCGGGAGACAACTGAAAGTGCTCTCAATGTCCAGAGCTGCAGTAATTCGAGCAACAGGATTAATAAAGCACTCATGGATTGTAATCTAAAGCATGAAGTACATACCCATGACTTTATACTGATGGAGAAGAGACCAATCTCCCAGGCAGAAGAATCCCAAATAATTTATGTAGCGACCCAGCCCTTGAGGAGGTGGACATAACTCCCCACCCCTTAGGGGTGGCCTGTGCATGGTGACGTCCTTCCAAAGGGTATAGAATACAGGGAAAGGACAAAAGGAAAAGAGTACAGGAAAAAGAAAGGGGGACAAGAGTAACTCCACAGTGGACAAGCCTGACATACGCCACCTCAGCCAGATAAGGTCAACACCAGCCGTGAAAGGCCACGCTGACAGTACGTACCTTTGGGATGGTGTGACGAGAAGGGCACCTCACCCCTGTGCCCTTCCTCCCTCAAATCCACCACCCCCGTCTGACATGAGAAAAAAATCAGACAAATCCCAGTGGAGTGACATTCTACAGAACACCTGACCAATTCTTAAAACTGTCAAGGTCATCAAAACAAGGAGAATCTGGGAAACTGACACAGCCCAGGGGAGACATGATGCTAGAGGTCAGATATCCCCCAGAAGTACATGGGTTGGAAACTTGATCCCCACTTTAACAGTGTTAAGAGGATGGGAAATCCGATTATGGCATTTGAAAGGTGACTGGATTGTGAGGACTGTGCCTTCGAGAGTAGATTAATCCGTTCATGGAGTAATGAGTTATGGGTGTGGACTGGTGGCTTTCTACGGAGCACCTGAGAGAGATCTTGCCACTCTCTCTCTCTGTGATACCCTGAGTCACCACGGGACCCTCTAGAGAAGAAAGCCCTCATGACATGCACCCCCTGGCTATAGATGCGCCTCCCAAACTGTAAGAAATAAATTTCATTTACTTATAATGACCCAGTTTCAGGTATTGTTATAAGCAACAGTAAAAGGACTAATACACATGATGACTAAATCTAATGTGGGATCCCAGAACAGAAAAGGGACATTGGAGAAAAACATAGGAAATAAAAGGACTAATACACATGATGACTAAATCTAATGTGGGATCCCAGAACAGAAAAGGGACACTGGAGAAAAACATAGGAAATCTTTTTCTTTTTTTTTTTTAAAAGATGACCGGTAAGGGGATCTTAACCCTTGACTTGGTGTTGTCAGCACCACGCTCACCCAGTGAGCGAACCGGCCATCCCTATATGGGATCCGAACCCGTGGCCTTGGTGTTATCAGCACCACACTCTCCCGAGTGAGCCACGGGCCGGCCCCAAAACATAGGAAATCTGAACAAAGTGTGGACTTCTGTTAACAACAGTGTCAGTTTTGTTCATTAGTTGCGACAATGCATGACGCTAGCTAATGTGAGATGTTATTAATAAGGGAAACGGGATGTGTGGGGTACAGGGGAACTCTGTACAAACTTCGCCATTATTCCGTAAATCTAAAACTGCTCTAAAATGAACAAACAGACAGAAACCAGGCCCCGAAGACCTTTCCGAGCTAGTTGCTGGTGATGCAGTGAATCTCTTTCACCCCAGCCCCGATGGAAATTAACATGTCTGTTGCCCGGTGTCACCCCCAATGCTGTGGACCCTGATGGGCTTCTTCGCACCTGGATCCTTAGGTGTGGATAGGGCAGCCTCTTCTTATGGGGAAGGTGCCTCTTGGTGGTCTCCAAAAGATATGTACAACTGGAACCTGTGAATGTGATGCTATTTGGAAAAATGGTCTTTGCAGGTGCAGGGAAGGTAAGATCTGGAGATGAGATCTTTCTGGATTAGGGAGTGCCCTAAATCCAATGACTGTTGTCCTTATAAGGGAGGGAAAAGGAGACACAGGGGGACAAGGGATGAGGCCTGGGATGTGGTGGGTGACCCCACAGTGCACAAGCTGCCTGCTGCCCTAGGCGTTGTTTGGGGGTGGGGAGCAGAGACATTCAATTTTGCTTCATATCCATGCTTGGACTTCTCAAAATGTAAGTCACAAGTTCAAAGATATATTTATATGAAATAGGATCTGGGGCTGGGGTGGGGTGGGGTGGGGGATGGAACATTGGATTAGGCCAGTTGTAAGTTTGCTCCTCAAAAAACAATCTTTGGAAGGAGCCTGGGGAGAGCTCAGAGCTCTGACTCCTGATCTCCTATGAGGGACCCCCAGCGGGACAGACATTCTTGCTGAGACTCCTTCTTCTCAGCTCATTTGCGAAAATCTTAGACCACCTGCAACACTGTGTGTCCCATGCAGACCCCACCGTGGTCTTATGGGCCAGAGTGACACACAACCCTGCCCAGGTACTGGTGACTTTGTCCACGCGAGGGTCTCAGTTCCCACACTCTGGGGTATAGTCATCTGGCAGATGAGCACTCGCTCTCAGTGCCCCCGTCTCCTTCCCCAGCTCATGAACATCCCAGGACCAGTGGCGGCTTTCTGTCTACAAAGTTGCTTCTGTGAACATGTACTCTGAAGACCACCTTGGCAGCTCGGCTGAGCACACTGCCCTGTGGCTCTCACTCCAGAACGAAATCTGTTTTCAAGTTCAACTGCACATTCCTCAAATGCAGAGTGTGGGTTGAGCCACCTCAAAAGGAGCTCCCTGCTTTGCTTCAGGTAGTGCACAAGGAACAGGTGACCACGCGGATCGATGTGGGGCATCGGGTTTCTGTGAGGGACCTGGGTGGGGCTGCAGTTGTGCCTTAAAAACGCCTTCAAGGGGCCGGCCCGGTGGCGCACTGCTACAGTGCACCGCTTGGGAGCACGGAGGCGCTCCCGCCGAGGGTTCGGATCCCACATACAGACCGGCCGCTCACTGGCTGAGCGAGGTGCGGGGGCAACACCGAGGGTTGCGATCCCGTTGCCGGTCCCAGTCCAGTACGGGCGCGACACTGAGGGTTGCGATCCGTTGCCGGTCACGAAAAAAGACAAAAAAAAAAAAAACGCCTTCAGGTATGAGAGTTGGAATAGACAGAGGGAACATGTGTGACAATGGAACTCTGACCCACAGCCTCTGCAGCCATCGGCCCTAGACGGTCGGGCCTTGGTCAGTGGCTGCAGCTTCCCTAACATTTACCCCCATGTCCAGTTCAGGACCAACCTGGGGAAGCCAAATGTGCCCTGAAGAAATCCCATAGGATGCTCACTGTTAGCTGCCTCCAGCGTCCCCAGCTGACACCTCCAGTGGGCACCCCTGAGCCTTCCCTTTTCCACTCAGAAGCTCTTCCTGGGGCTGAGCCCGTGGCGCACTCGGGAGAGTGCGGCGCTGGGAGCACAGCAGTGCTCCCGCTGTGGGTTTGGATCCTATATAGGGATGGCCAGTGCGCTCACTGGCTGAGCGCGATGCGGCCGGTCTCAAAAAGGACAAAAAAAAAAAAAAGAAGCTCTTCCTGTCCCCTGCTTGCCTCGAAGTCTCTGGCAAACAGTGACAGGGTGGGCTCCCTTGCTTCAGCGAGCTCTGAATAAGCAGCCTCTGCTGTTCTCATTTGGGTAGTCTTTGTTTTTTCCACAGGTAACTCACTAAGTGGAGGAGAAGAGGGCTGGCCAGTTAGCTCAACTGGTTAGACTGTGATGTTATAACACCACAGTCAGGGGTTTGGATCCCCGTACCAGTCAGCCGCCAAAATGAATGAATGACTGAGGGAGAAGAGACAGCTCCACCTTATGGTAGAATTTCAAGTAATAAATGTAGAAGGAATGATGGAAACAGAAAGTCACCATCAGGCAAACACCAGTATTAATCATTGTCATCAAGAACCATGGGCAAACAGTATGGGTT